AATAACTGAATGCATATATAATTCTAAACTCATGAAATATTTTTCATTATTCATAATTTAAAAAAAGAAAAAAAATTGTATAGGTCTTCTGGACGGGTTCTTTTTTAATGAAACGTTTCGTCTCTCCTCCAAGAGACTTCTTCAGTCTGAGAGATTTTTTCATTATTCTTTAAAAAGCTGCTTATTATAAAACATTTCACAATGGAATTTTTTTCATAATGATATAAACTATTTTTGAGTCATTTTTATGTAATTCAAGCCATTTTTATTCCAAAATGTCCTTTTCAAAAAGTCATCTTTCATTTCATAATGGCGTTTTTTTCGATGGCCTATTTATTTCATAATGACACTTTTCAGCAGAATAACTTGGTCTGTCAATCAACGTCAGTGGGTTGGACCTGCACGCTCATTGGCTGATCCTTGCGCATCCGTTTGTTTTCCTGAAACTGTTCTCCTCGGTACAACTTCTTGTCCTAAACTCCRGAAGTAATCATAAGCTAAGTTAACTGGGAGAACAGACCACAACAACGGTATTTAAAACACGGACCCAAAACACCAAAATAAATAAATAAATAAAACTATTGTGTTTTCTGACGGCGCAATGAGTCCTGGAAAATCCTTGTCTGGGAAGAATACACAGTTGCGGCCTTCATTGTTAGGATTTTGTGAGCCACATTTGTCAGTTRCATGAGAAGGAGCTCATGAACGGAGACAGCCTACGGCGCGGGGCAGTGACGTAAGCGGTTGACAAATACTGACTTTGAAGGACACAACCCGTGAACTGAGACACAGCCAGAGTGATGACTGACGTACCGCTGCTTGTCCCTGATGTGGGACCTGGTGAGGAAACCACTGCGCGGTACGTTGGGGGAGGAGGTGGGGGAGGAGTACTCCGGCTTCCCTGGCTGGCATCTTTGGGTGAAGTGACAGTTTCAGCGCCGTCCTCTTTGGGATGTGAGGCGTTTGTGTTCTTGAAGTGTTCCTCGTGAGAGAGGATGAGGGGTGGAGGGGCCGAGGGCGCTGCAGGCTGTTCAGAGGGAGGGGTCACCACCTCGGAGGTGCCATCTTTGGAGGCGGGTACAGGTGGAACGGCAGGAAGYGAGGTAAGTGGAGGAGGAGAGGAAGCCAGAGGCGACTTGCACTCTGCTGATGTAGGAGGTGGTGAGGTGATGGGTAGGTTTTGGTTTTCAGGTGTGGGAGGACCTGAAYGGACAGGAGGAGCAGCAGGATCCTCTGAAGGAGGTGGGGAGGTTGGAAGAGGGGGAGGAGAAGGGTCTTCTTTTGGAGGAGGGGATTCGGGGAGAGGTGGAGCGGGCTCTTCTGGAGGAGGTGGTGATGGAGGTAGAGGAGGAGCGGGGGATTCAGGTGGAGGCGGGGAGGCTGGCGGCGGAGGAGGTGCTGGTTCTTCTGGTGGAGGTGGTGAGGAGGGCAGCGGGGGCGCGGGGTCCTTTGGTAGAGGTGGCCCCCCGTCAGGAGAGAGTTCGTTGAAGCAGACCCACTTGTCACTTGTTTCCTCGCCAGCAGGAGGAGCCTGCTCAGGTCCAAAAATGTTGTCCAAGTCCGCTAAGGAGGGTTTCCTGCTCGGTGCATCTGCTTCTGCTCGTAAAACAGAGACAACCATTCAGTCACAGCTTTAATGCATTTTATTCAAGGTATGAAGAGATTTCTCACCAGCATCATCTGCAGAGGGGGTCCTAGTCTTTGGGGGAGAAATTGGGACATTCTTGGGTGGAAGTGGAGGAGGAGCTGGAAAACAAAACAAAACATTGTAAACCAACATCAAATAGTCACTTTAAAGGGATCCCCGATTAGTTGTAACATTAGACTTTATATGATAAACATATACTTTAACTGTAAAATAAAGACTGTAAAAATACTGTAGGATGTTCAGCTTTTATCATTTTTAAACTAAAAGTTTAAAAATATATTACACGGATGGGGCCATTACACGCAAAGCATTCTGGGTAAATGATGACWTCAACTAGGTCATCGATGTGAGGCTGCTAGCRAGCTATATCCAYCCTGAAGGTTAATCTTGGACAATATCTGATGATCGACTCTTTTAAATGAAACCAGAGAGCGTTGACAGAGAGGAGAAGGTAGAAATGACTCAGCCTGGAACTGAAAATATGGATGGAGGACAACAGAGCTGCTTCATGGAAGAAGAACCTCAGCTTAGCCTATTAGCTTTAGCATTAGCCCCGATGCTATCACCATATATATGTATTAGCTCAGCGCTACACATTCTCCTCTCGTCACTGAGGTCCTCCATCCACATGACAGAGAGGGGAACACAAAAATGACTCAGCTGCAACTGAAAATATGGATGGAGGACCTCAGTTAATCTTGTTTGTTGTGCTAGCGCCGAGCTAATACATATAAGGCAATATAGCGTGAGGGCTAGCGCGAAGGCTAACAGGCTAAGCTGAGGTTCTTCTTCCATGAAGCAGCTCTGTTGTCCTCCATCTATATTTTCAGTTACAGGCTGAGTCATTTCTACCTTCTCCTCTCTGTCAACGCTCTCTGGTTTCATTTAAGAGTCAATCATCAGATATTGTCCAAGATTAACCTTCAGGGTGGATATAGCTCCCTAGCAGCCTCGCACCAAGGACCTATCCATGTCATCATTTACCCAGAATGCTTTGCGTGTAAATAAAATGGCTCCGTCCGTGTTAAAATATATTTTAAAAATTTTACAAAACTAAACAGGCTACAGTATTTTTACAGTCTTTATTTTGCAGTTTAAATAAATGTTTATGAAATAAAGTTTAATGTTACAACTAATAGTGGATCCCTTTAATGGGTTCAACACACGGGAGGCGATTCATTCATTAATTTCCTATGGAACTTGTGTGATGAGGCGACAAGTGACCAGCGAGACTCGTTTATGGGAAATTTTGCGTTCGTACAAGTAGACGTACACAGGTGAACTTGCGACACGACACGTGAAAGTTGAAACATGTTCAACTTTTGTTGCTGTCGCATGGCGCTACAACCAATCAGCGAGGGTTTCATTAGACTGACCAATGAGCGGAGAGTATGCTACACACTGCAGTTAGCTACCACTTTCAACATTATTTTAATTGTGTCAAACTTTCCAGTTTTATGACACTTCCCAAAGTCGTTACTAAAATATCCTGATGCATCTCAGTAATCCAGGTAAAAAATCAAAAAGAAAAAAATTGTATAGGTCTTCTGGACGGGTTCTTCTCTAATGAAAAGTTTCGTCTCTACTAAAATACACATAAAAAGTCAGCCGTATGAGAATTTGTTGGCGCCAGGGTGAAGTTGTGTGGCAAGATTTTCCTCAAAAAATCGTATCTCGGCATGTGTTCGTTTTTGAGTTGTATCAGTAGCATCGCAATATTTGTTTAGTTTATACATCCGTAAGGCACACCATTCATTTTTTTGCCGACCCACAAAACATTTTACAAAAAGCAGAAGAACTATCAACTTTCTTGAAGAAAAGCGACCCAAGAGCGCGATTTGCAACACTGCCGTCGCCATCGCGTCCTGTGCGTTGGGTTTCACCCTGGTTTTACAAGGACAGACGTAAATTTCTGTAATTTGTCGCTTCCCGTTTGTTGAGCCCATTACACATATTTTTCAGCTCAGAATGGGCTGCATACAATACTGGCAGATTTGAAKAGAATGACAAAGAACGTCACGTCAAATGTTTGGATCAGCTGCCAAAAACATCAAGTTGATTCCAGAACCCAAAACAAACCACCATGCAGCACAAAAACGGAACAATATGCCAAATGCAAGGAGAAGGGAAGTGCAAAATGAGAACTGAACCATTTATGTGTAACAGAATACAACCAATAATTTGCTGGTGTAATGGMTGATGAAATGAAACAACAGTCGGTTGAAAAGGACATGGAGAGGATTGTGGCCACACAGTTTAATCAGAGCCATTTGCAGGTYTGTTGGTCGGATAATGAGGGAGAACACAAGGTGAGTCTGCAGTCATTCCGGGGAAGACGAGGAGCCGTGGCACAGGGTGCGCGTGGAGAAATGAAACTTACTTCCTGTGGGGAAGGACCTCATCAAAGATGATTCAGGCTCTGAGAGAGAAGCGCCCCAGACGTCGGACTCAGAAAGAACCACTAAAGGTCGGGAGGGGACAGAGAAGGTCACGTGAAGACCGGGAAAAAAATGCTTATGGGTTTCTGATTCTTTGGGGCTCGCAAAACAAAAACGCATCAGAAAGGARACGGCACGTCAACATGTCGGCTACGTCTGTAAATAGAATATGTGAGTCAGTTACTAATTCCATCTAGGATGCGTCAAATCATTTGGACTTAACTGCATCTCAGTAGCAACAAAATAGAAGCACATGGCAGCCAAAYATCTAATCCACCTCTGTGGACAACTACGCTTGCTAATTAGCTCCAACAGCTCTTTGTGAAAATTACAAAGTAGTGATGATTACACCTTGTTCCATTTCTGCAGACTGTCAGATTTTCTCATTTAAACAGTTTTGGAATAAAAGAGTCTTATCTTTGGCAGGAACTGAACCTTTTAATAGCCGTAAAGATAAATTAAATTGGAGCTGCTTTGATTTAGACCACACAATCAAACTGCTTGACTGAAGCAACAAAATATTGTAAAACATCCATCCATCCATTTTCTGTACACGCTTATTCCTTTCAGGGATGAGGATCATATTCACAATTGTTTCATTCAGACGGTTTATTTAGCTTTTGTTTGAATAGATCCAGAGTTGTTGCACTTGTCTCAGTTAATGYGGACTACACCAAATGATGTTTGTTATGCCTGAAATGACACTTATGTAGGAGGTAAAAGCTCTTCAACAGCCTGCGACGCAAAATCCAACAGAGCTGAATGTGAGCAGGTGACTGCTGAATTTGCATATTTAACAATCTGCACTATGTATACGAGTAAAAACCTCAGGGGTGACAATTTCAACTTTGACCTTAGAGAAAGACAAATGGAACCGATCCACAACTGATTAGTACRCCTGAAGGAAGAATAATTATGGAAAGAGCCGAGGAGGAGGAGAAATCAAGAAACAGGGGACGTGTTGTGACAGCCAAGTTAGGCTTAGCTGACAGCCAACGAGACAGTAAGAGTGTTTTCAGAAAGCCGATTCCAATGTACCACTGCGATCTGTCAACACAAGCATATTCTGTGAAATAAATACACAGACACACATAATAAACAAAGAACAAACACAAAAGAAGAACAGCTACCTTCAGCTTTCTTTTCTCCAAAAGCTGATTCCAGAGGAGGCCCGAATAAGGCTGTGGTGTCCTCGAGGACTGCTGTTTGTTGATTGCTGCAGCAGCGGATGCGACAGAGAAGAAAAAATGAGATAAGAYGAGTTTTATTTGAAATATGTGGAGCTTTTTAAAACCCTCCTCATGAAAGTCATGCAATCAACTCTGATTTGTCAGCTGGCTTTGCTAAAACTGCAGAGCAAAACACAAATGTTTTATTTGTTTGTTTGTTTGTTTGTTTGTTTGCTTGTTTGTTTGTTAGAGATATTCCAAACTAGCTACAACATGTTCTGTGGTGATTTAATAAGTGAAGAAATTCAAGCCAGGATAATTAACATAGTGTTTCAACCCTATCAAAATTAAAGTTTTCTATGGGGGGGAATACTTTTTCCAGTTTGAACTATAAAAGGAGAGGATAGGCTGGGGTGGCACCTGATTGGCCACATCGGGTGCCACCCACACATAATTGAGAAGTGGGTGCCAATCTTGGATTCTGTATTTTCATGTAGATTTGGTTAAAACAGTTCTGATACCACCATACTGTACTGTTCAAAAATGGCTGAATCATTGCCCTTTGTAAAACTAGCATTAGGGTTTATTTATTAGGTTAATTTGGAACTAGCATCTGCAATTGGCATCATTCATAGCCACTTCACAACTAATTTCATCATAATGACTATTAAAATGACTSAGAAAATGAATTATTGCCCTTTTAAAGTTATCTGTGGTGGCCTYTATAATTTTTAATAGTGTGAATGCCTTAAAGAATCATTTTTTCTTCTGTACATTTTTCGGCGTCTAACTCGTTCCACAATTTTTGTACTATTTCAACTATTCATATATCAAAACATTCACCTCATTTGTGTCAGGGGTGCTATGACTTTTGGTTTTCAGCTTTTTATACTTTTTTATCCATTTCCCATTTTTCTGGCCACTTTTTTGCCATTGAAAATGAATGGAACTGTTTYCAACATCCTTAAAACCCTTTAAAATGTTTCTAAATCTTTACAGCACCTAATGTTTTGTTCTGGTTCTACTCTTTCACATTCTTGTGCCAATTTTACATACCTTTTTGCTAATTTTAGCCCTTTTTCCTGCTATTTCAGTTAAAATTCTGCTTCTTTCTGSTATTCTTCTGCTTTTGTCTACATTTTAGTGCTTTTCTCAGCTACTTTGTGCTCTTTATGCTTCTTACAGATGCTTTTTGCTATGTTCAGCTATTTGCTGAAATTTTAGCTAATGTTTAGATGCTATTAGCTGAAGTTAGCTTTTCTAAGCTAAATACACATTTTTTGTAGCTATTAGAACATTTTTCAGCTAAGTTCATCAAACTTGCTTTTCTTACGCTTCCTTATGCTAATTTTAAAATTTTCCAGCTACTTTTTAATTGTTTTACCGAACATTTCAACTGTTTTAGCCATTTTACAACAAATTATCACTTTTTTGTACCTGTATGCATTTTTTCTGCTAGTTTTACAAATTTTTACAAGACTTTCTCTGGGTGCTAATTTCAACTTGTGCCTGCTACCTATTGCTACCTAGCCTATTTATGCTAATTTTAGCTATTTTATGCTACTTTAGCTGTAGATCTGCTTCTTTCTGCTATTCTTCTGCCTTTTTCTGCTACCTAGTGTTATTTATGCTTCTTACAGATGTTATCAGCTATATTAAGCTATTTTAGCTTT